GCGCTCGACAGCTTTTCTCCTGAGGCAGCCTGCGGTGGGAAGGAGTCCAGGAGCGATCCCAGGAGGCGTCCTTCCCGCAGCCCCGGCGTGGGGCGGGATGCGCGTGTGCGCAGATCGGGTAGATTAGGGAAGTTGAAACAACTCGAAAGAAATTATTTTAAGGAAAAAAGGCACCGAGGAGAACCTGGCCTCCCGTTGATAGAAGGTTTTGCGTGGGCCTGGCTGGAGCCCTCGAGATGTGCTGGGCTAGCTAAGCACCGGCGGGAACTGCCCCGGCGGGTCCAGGCTAGCGCGGGCGGGCTGCTGAGGTTAGGGCCGGACGTGGGACTCAATATCCACCCCCAACTCCCTTCGCGTCCCCAGTCTCCTGGAAAGCCTCAGCCCCACCCCATAACTCTCCTCGGGAGACCAAACTCCGTGAACCCCCGTACGTCTGCGTCCCTGTTAGCTGTCCTGACCCGCGGCCACCCTTGCGCCTACTGCCTGTTCCCTGCGCTGGGTCCGCAACCCCAAGTTTTGAGATGGCAGGGCGGGGGAGTGGAACTTTGGGCGGAAATGGAACACCCTACTACACCCTGCTAGGTGGGGATTAGGGAAACTGGGTTCAGAGGCCGGCGGGGACCAGGAAGGGGCCTCGGCGTGGAGGAGCTGGTGGAGGCCTTGTCCCGCCATCCGGCTGTCTTGTTGTCTTAGTGATCTTTGAAATTCTCGAGCCGACCTTACGTCAGCGTAATACAGGAGAGCCCCAAGTTAAAGTCTCCTCCGAGTGCAGAACAAGATGAAGACCCGGGTTCTCAGAGGGGCTGAAGCACGGGGGTTTCGGTTAGAGGGACAGACAGGCTCAGGGACGCGGCGATGCCGACTCGCAGGCTGGGCTCTGTCCTGCCCACGGCGTCCCACGAGGGAGAGCAACGTAACTTGAACGCGGGCGCAGAGCCTCAAACCGGCCTCTCGCCGGCGTGCTCGGCGCTCTCTGCGGTGTCGGCGACGCAGACCCGGACCGGAAAAGAACCACACAGAAGAAAGCGGCCTCGCTCACCGTCTGACAATGAGTATCTCTGCCACCCCGCGTCGCCTGCCCCTTGCTAATCCTTGAATAATAATAATAAAGAAAAGCCCAAAGACATCGGAGAAAGCAACCTGCTTAGTGTTGTTTAGGACCTGGCAGGGAAGCTGGCCCGGAGGCAGAGGCAGCGGTTCTTGTCGCTGGCAACCCTGGCTGTGTTTGGGAGCGTCGAGCGGCTGGGTGACCACGAGCTCCTGCGGCCCGGGACTGCACTAGAGAGCGCGAAGGGCAGCGTGGGGACAGCGGGGGTGCCTCGGGTTGTCGATCCCGAACATCGCTGCGGCTGACCCCGTTGGGGCATTATCCCTACGGCTGACGGGAGACGCGTTGGTAGGGAAGAGAGGAATGAAGCCGGGCAAGGAAGATTTGCAAAATGGGAACTCCAGGGACCACAGGAGCTGTGAGGTCTCTCCGGGTTCCGAAACAAATGTATTAAAGAGTGTTTTCTGGGCCCACCTTCCCAACCTCTCCAAAGAACAGGAGCGCTTTCCCATCTCATAATTTCTTTATTAAACTTTGCCTCTGTGCTCTCTAAAGGACAGATTGGTTTCACGTGGTAAAATGTTTTCCGCGTGTTGTCTTGCGCTCCGGAAGCCGCCTTCCCGGGAGGGAGGACCAGCCCGAGGTCGTCCTTCGCACGGAACACAAGTCCAGGCTCTCGCTCCTCTCTTCGGAGATCTTCTCCCTTCCCTCGCAGAGCCCAGAGGAATCTGATTCCCTGGGAAAACAGCATCGCCTGAATTGAACCTTTGCCCGCCCGCTCTCTTACGGTTTTTCTTTTTCTTCTTGTCTCTCTATTTTTTGTCTGAGGGTGTTTGATTTTTTAATATTTTGATTTTTTTTCCCACCCAGCACCAGAGGTTTTCGAAATCACTGGGAATCTGAGTCACCGCTAACAGTAGAGATCTTTAGCGACACCAGGCTGTGGGGCGCTCTGACACGGCGAGGGATAGGAGAGCCCACACTGTTGGGGGTGGGGGTGAAATCAGACGCCCAAGCTGGGCGAGGTCGCGGCCAGCCCGGGCAGGGTATTGGAGACAGTGAAGCACCGCACTGTCTGGGCGGCCGTCTGGGTTCTCTTTCCCAGCCGCGTGCCCCTCGCCTCCCAGCCTGTCCCAGACCGCTGCTTGGTGACCGGAATCCCAGTAGGCTGCGACACCGCACGTGCCATCCTGGCTTCTGACCCAACTCCCGATGTCTGTGGAGCAGCTGCGGACCGGACACCGCACTTCCTCCACACCCGTCACAGCTTAGCTTGCGGGCTTGAGCCGCGGAGAGCGAGCCACTTCTCCGGCCAGCTGTTGTCTCAGTTCAAGGTGGAAGGCCCAGGTGGCCCTCGCGTTGGGAGTTCCAGCGACTGGTGCGTGGAGGTTGGCTCGTGGAATGTTAAAGGCGGAGATCACCCACCCTCAGGGCATCATTCTTCACTGAGCCGCACAAATCCAGCAACTACAAAACACGACGCGGAAGGACGGGTCAGGTGTTGGCGCACCAGCGTGATCCGGGGTCGTGGGGTGGTGCTTTCCGCCTACACCGAAGCACCCCCACACTCAGTGGCCGAAGAAATTAGTTTCCCTTCGTACTCCCAGAGACTGAGCATGTTATTTGGTCATAAATGATCCTCACAAGCCTTTTTCATCTTAGAAATTCCTTTGTGATACCGGGTCAGGCAGAACCTTAGGATTTAATGTAAGGGATGATTCAAGGGGGTTCTGAACCCAAATTCGCCCGGGAAACTGGAGGTCCGGTCTAAGAACTCCCGCCTTTCTTCCTTCTCTCCTCTCCCCTCCACTCCACCTCTGCAGTGCCTAGGGTGCCACCCTCTGGCGCACAGTGGCAACTGACCAGGAAGAGTCTTGGAACAGGTGAAGGTAGAGACACTGCCTCTATACCCAGACTGGTGCCTTCAGACCGGCTGGCTGGCGGCAGGCGACGCTTCCCGAGACTGGTTAGAGTGGGATGGCGGAGGTCGGCTAGGCGTTGGCACCGTCATCGTCCACCCGTGCAAAACCCACCTGCAGGAACCCCACGCACGATCCGAGGTTGTCCTGACATACACTGCCAGTCATAGACAAGACACCCTTGGCAGAAGGGAAAAAGAGGAGCAAGCCGGTGATTTGGAGAAGCTACACTGGTCAAATTTTTATTTCATTTTCCATACTTTACACGCCAGCATTTTTTTTTAATTCTCAGAAAAAAGAAAGCTACCCAAATAATAGACTGTTTTTCTAGAACAGAACAAAATCAGGGCTGCTTTCTCTTCCCCTAACCAGCTACACAGTGTACTCCTCCATTTTTTCAAGTTTTCAGCCAGTTGTAAAATTTTCACTCCCCAAATCACAATAGACCCCCAGTTTTATTTTCGTGGTTTTCAAAACATCATTTACACCACTCCACCTTTACCCTCCTGTGGGGCTCCTCTCTGAGCTGTGCTGTTGTTGCTAAGACCACAGTTTCCTTTTGCAGCAGCTCCACATGCCATGGTGCTCAAAGAAATGGGGTGCAGGGGTAGGGAGGCAGGGCAGGTGGGGGAAGAGCAAGAATTGTAATAGTTCAGTGATTCATCTTCCTTGAAAATGTGCTCTATTACATCAGTGATTTCTAATGAAAAACTTCATTCTTCACACATTGTGGTTAAGAATCATCAAATCAGTACTGAAAAGACTTTGATCATATTTGCAAGATGCGCTAAGATGAACTTTCACTGACCAAGATTTCAAAGTTTGTAATTAATACTCTTGAAAAATTCCCTGACTAATCTGTCAACTCTCAATATCTTTAACCACACAGTTCAAAACCATGAGACAGTATACACAGCCCTTGAACTTTCCACGTATTGTCATGCAATTATTCAAGATGATTTTCCCTTTGGGTTTGCATTATGCAACCCATATTCACCAGTGGGGGAAAGTCACTTTGAAGGTTGTGAGAGTATGCATTTGGTTTGTCTAACATTAAATACACGTTTAAGGTCTATAAGTAGAAATTACAAGAGGCAGATTCTATTCAATATAAGAAAAACTTTTTTAAAAAAAGCAATCCAATGGTTGGTGAAGAAGAGGTTTTCTTCATTCCTAAGTGTCATGATTGTTGTGTTAAATGGCTTCCACTTTTTGTCTCATTTTGTTAAAGGCTCAGCTGCTGCTGGGCACTGAAGTAATAGAATCTCGAGGGTTTTAACTTCACTAGTGGGTTAATCCACTGATGATATCAGAATTTGGTAGTATTACTGGGACATGATGAAAATAGGAGGTGAGGACTCATTGAAGGGAGTGAACCATGGGGGTGTGGCTTCAGGGACTTTAAGTGATCCCTGACCCCTTCCTCTTTGCCTCTCTGTCTTTCTCTTCTTCCTGGCTACCATGAAGCAATGCTTTGCTTTGACATTCCCTTCCATCCTGAAGCTTCAAGCTTGCAACAGGCCTAAAAGCAATGGAGCCAGCTGAGAATGCAAAAAAAAAAAAAAAACAAAAAAAAACAAAAAAAAACCTCTGAAACGATGAGCCAGAATAAAGCTTTCCTTCAAGTTTATCTCAGGGTTTTGTCACAGTGTGTCAAAGCGTTCTCTTCACTGAGACATACCTGACAACTTACAGCTTAAAGGAGGAGAGCTTTATTTTGGCTCACAAGTTTTAGAAATCTTAGTTCTTGTGTGGTCAGCAGCATGGTGGAGAGGCCTGGCATGGAGGAAATCCACATGGAGGCAGCCAGAAAGCAAGGAAAGAAGGGAGGACCTGGGGAGGTAGACTCACCCTTGCAGGTCACTCCCTAATGAGCCGGCCCACATGACCAGGCCTCACTTCCTACCATGACATTTAGCTGTCACGCCCCATGATTTAATCACCCTTCAAAAGCCTGGCCTTTGAGCTCATGAGGCTTGGAGGGGACATCCAGATATAAACTGTAAGACAATGACAAAAAGCTGACCAACTCAACTGTTCTCAGATGACCCCACCAATGATGTTTTAGGAACAATAAACTGGCTGGGTAGATTAAATGTTGACTGCCAAGATTGTGTCTAAATCTAAAGCACTGGGATTGCCTGAAGAACCCCTTTCCCACTTTCTGCATTCTTCATGGACTGCAAAAGGACTCCAGAGATAATTTGTGTTTAGATGGAAAGATCAGGTGTCATTCTTATAATGGTCATTTGACTCTGACTGTAGGACCTCAGCCACCTCTGCCTGTCGAGGATAATATAATTAGCATCCTTTCACTCCCAGAGTGTGTACGAGTGTCCTGTCTTGGGTTGGGTACTATTCTGGATGTAGGAGGTATGGGTGTACACTGTGGGCACAGGTTTCTTACATTATGAAACTGTCATGCAGTTTTAAAAATATAAAAATAAGGGCCAGGGTTTTGACTCAGTGGTTCTGCTGCCTGTCTTGCAAGCTCAAGGACCCTAGTTCGATCCCTGGTACCAAATAAATAAATAAATAAAATATGATCTCTTTAATATAAAACATAATTGAGTAGCTAATAAAGCATTGATTATTGCAGTTATGGCATTTTTATTACAACAGTATTTTTAAGTATTATATATATTATTAAAGTGATATATTATTAAAATATAATTTATTGTAAACATATCCTTCCATACCATAAACAAAAATGATACATACTGTTGTGGTCTCCCTGTTCTGATAATATGTGACCTTTTTATGCTAGACAAAGTACCCCAAATTCTACAAAGAAAATCCATGAGCTTTTAAGAAACACAAATGAAGAGGTACCATATAAAAATGAAAGAGCATCACAAGCTATACATCCTTGCACAAAAGTTTTAAAAGAGCAGACCCAGACACCGCTCTACAAACAATGAGAAAATGAGATCCACAGGGAGAAATAGCCCGTGAGTGGATCTGAGATAATCTACTTTATTTCACTTTTTTTGGTACTGGGGATTGAACTCGGGGTCCTTGCGCTTGCAAGACAGGCCACCAAACCACTGAGCTAAATCCCCGGCCAGAGATAATCTACTTTAAAGAGAGCAGAAGCACTCAGGAGACCTCAAGATACACGGTGCATGGATATGTTAGTAGGTAGATTTGGGGTGGGGTGGGTTATAACTTCAGTTTGGCTTCCCACTTCTACTTGTTGCCATGTTTTAATTCCTTTGCTCCTCTTTTTTGCTGTCCCCAAATTGTCCTTATTCCAGTTGGAAATAGGATGGGAAGTAACTAAGCTTTACAGCTTCCTAAACCCTACTCTTTCACATGGCATGGTCCTAATCATACCTTAGATGGCCACTGTGTGACAGCCTGCCCTGTGTACCTGCAGTGACAACGTAACCATTCCTTGGACTCTGCAGAAGGTCTTCCTGCTTCTTCCCACATGCCTCACCTCGATTTCTAGCACAGAAGCCCTCCTGGTGTTTTCTTTATTGTTTTATTTCATTGGTACATTTTAGATATACATAATGATAGCATTCATCATAGGACACTTGCACGGAACATGATATATCTTGCATCTTCTTTTTTCCCATTCCCTTCCTCTCCCCTCACCCCTCTTCCTCTCCTGGTTTACAAAAGCATTGATTCCATTTTTAATTTGTCCCTTCTTTCCTTTCCCCTTCCCCCTCCATTGTTCCCCTTCTCATTTGAACATTTTCTTCTTATTTCCCAATATCTTTTATACATTTAGGTCCTGAATATACTTTCAGTTTCTCATACCAAAGAAACAATGCGATGTTTAAGTATGTGTCCTATTTATTTCACTTAAAAGCATGGTCTCAAAGGCGAATCCATTTAGCTAGAAATGTTTCAAGCGTATCCTTCTTTATAACAGAGTAGTAGTTTTTCCTGTACTGCTGAAGTTTCTTTTTGGTAAACAGTATCCTTCTAAAAGAAAAAGCATGAAGGAGAAATTGAGGTGTATATACAGTATGTCCTCAAATGACCAGCATTGTATTCATGAATATACTGTGTATCTTACAGTGAACAGTGTGGAAGCTGTTGTTTTTTCAATCTGAAGTAAAATACTTTCAAGAAAAAAAAAATAAAACATCTTCTTTATCCATTTGTCAGTTGATGAACATATGGGCTGTTTCCAAGATGTAGCTGTTACAAACTGTGCCACTGTAAACATGGGTGTGCCTATATCACTGTGATATGATGCTTTTAATTCTTTTGGTAAGATACCATGAATGGGAATAGCTGGGTCAAATGGAACCTCTAGTTTTAGTTTTTTGAGGAATCTCCACACTGATTTCTATAGTGGCTGTACCAGTATACACTCCCACTAGCCAAAAAAAAAAAAAAAAAAAAAAAACCCCACCCTGCCAATCCACAAAACTGGCCTCCATTACTATTGGGGGTTAACACGCAGAAATGGAAACTTTAAGCATCACTAATCAAAACTACAAATAAATTTGCTATAAGGTATCATTTACACCCTATTTTTAAAACAAATCTATGCATCTATTTCATACTTGTTAGATATTGGTAGGCTTTTAAGGTCATTTCTGGTCCATTCTTTTTCAGTTCACTTGATTTTAGATGAACTAGATCTTGAGCCAGAAACTTAAAAAGAGGAATCTTAAAACAATCAACAAATACGTTTTCACCTAAAAGATGTGAGGGGTTAATAATGAGGTTTCTATGTTACTTGTGTCTGTCGTTTTCCACCTCTGCTCCTGCTGTGACACATGCCTGGCATCCTGGAAGGTGCCTCTGACCACCTCTACCTACCTTTATCTCTCCCCATGTTATTCTGAGCTGTGCTGTCCTACCTCAGTACCAGATCAACATTTCGTAGATTATTAGTCTAGCCTCAGCTAAGGATACACCTCTGCTCTGCAGGGGCTGTGCCTCTGCAGCCTGGCTGTGTCTCTCTGGTATCTTTCTAACAATGCCTTAAAGTAACATTCTGCATTTTCCACCTACATAAGCCAGGTTTTCTGTGCTATGCTCCATGCTGACTCGGGATGGTGTTTGCCACACATGTACTGTGTGCTGGACTACAGAGACATGTATATGTTTACAACAGTCTCATTGGGTGTGCATCACAGCTTTATCAGGTATCACTCCATGTTACAGATGAGGAAACCAAGACTTAACAAACAATACATCGTTCCAAGTCA